TATTTTCTATAACTTTTTCCACTTTATCCAAAAAGTCATGGGAACATAATGTGGAAAAAGTTATAAAAAATGAGAAGGTGAAGATCTTGTGGGACTTTCGAATACGGACGGATCGTCACTTGGAACACAACACGCCAGATATCACAGTTGTCGAAAATCGAAACATACAATTTATTGACATCGCAGTACCAGGAGATGCCAGAGTTCAAGAAAATAGAACTGGAAAAAATCATGAAATATCGCAACCAGGCCATCCATGGCCATCCAAGGCTATGGATGAAACATGTCACAGTGATACCCATTGTCATCGGGGCACTTGGTACTATGTCAAAGAATTTCACAAAACACTTCAAGAAATTGCATCTTCCTGCAATAACACCAGCAGAACTGCAAAAAACTGCGCTACTCGGAACATCATATATTTTAAGAAGGTACTTGGTCGATACCTAGGACTCTGGCAGCAACCCGTATCAACCATTAGCACCAGTCAATGGTATTTGTGACACATTTTTAAATATCCCATTGACTGAGTTTCATTTTTAATGAATAAAACAGAATAATAATAATAATAACAACAACAACAATAACAATAACTTTATTGTCCCCTTTTCTCCAGCTTTGTGCTATTATATTGTGATTAATGGACATAATTCTCACTTTTTTCAATTCCTCGCAGTAGACTGTAGGAAGGAGTGGGAATTAACTCTTATAGAAAGAGGCATTATTTCTTCATGTACAGACACAACGTCCTCGATTTATGACCGCAATAGAGCCCACAATTTCTGTCGCTATGCAAGACATTTTTAAATAAGTAACTTTATTGTCATTGTACGTGTATACACAGTATACCCATACAACGAAATTCAATTAACACCCAAAGACCAGGTCCAACACACATAATAATCCCCAAACACACTCCCACCCACCACAATTTCCCCACCCCTCAACCACCCCAACATCCACACAACAGACCAAGTAATGCTGTCCAACAGCTCCCTGATGGTGGCCCTTTAGTTCATTGTTGAGTGCAATTATAGCTCTGGGATAAAAACTATTCGGAAAATGTGGGGTCCGAGTTTTAATAAGGATAAATAAGGAGAATAATTGAATGGCCACCAAAAAAAAAAAGAAAGGAATAAGAATAAAAATATGGACAGAGGAGACTTTTTAAAAAGAGAGAGAGAGAGACGGAGAATGCAGGCATAAGAATATTATTCAATGGCTCCCACCAAGCATTCAGACGAAATTCAAGTTATTTCCCAGTACAACCCAAACTTTGTGGACCTCCCTGATCCACTAGAACAGGTTTGGGCAATTGTGGCTCTTTTACAACCTGTGGACTTCAACTCCCAGGATTCCTGAGACAGTCTCAGGAATTCTGGGAGTTGAAGTCCACAGGTTGTAAAAGAGCCACAATTGCCCACCCCTGCACTAGAAGATGGGTTAATTAAGATAAAAAAAAAACTTTCCTTGGTGTATCTGTGGAGCTTCTCCGTCATTCAGGTCATGGTTGTCTCAAAGGTGCTTTTTTTTCACGAGGCAACTGGACTTTCTGGTTTTTCTTTGAAGACGTTTCACTTCGCATCCAAGAAGCTTCTTCAACTCTGCCTGGATGGTGGGGAATGGAAGGATTGATACTCCTTGCTGGAGTATTTAGAATAGAATGACAGAGTTGGAAGGGACCTTGGAGGTCTTCTAGTCCAACCCCCTGCTTAGGCAGGAAACCCTACACCACTTCAGACAAATGGTTATCCAAAATCTTCTTAAAAACTTCCAGTGTTGGAGCATTCACGACTTCTGGAGGCAAGTCGTTCCACTGATTCATTGTTCTATCTCTCAGGAAATTCCTCCTTAGTTCTAAGTTGCTTCTATCCTTGATTAGTTTCCATCCATTTGCACCACTCAAGTGACCCTGAGGACACAGATAAACCTCCAAGTGCTTCAAAGACCCTCTAAAAGGATACGAATGACCAGCTGTCTGCAAGGAGTATATCAATCCTTCCGTTCCCCACTTCAGAGTTGAAGAAGCTTCTGGGATGAGAAGCGAAACGTCTTCAAAAGAAAAACCAGAAAGTCCAGTTGCCTCTTGAAGGAAAAAAAAAACAAAAACCACTTTTGGGATTTCCTTAAGCGTAAATATCACATCAGCATTCCGTACCAGATTTAATTTCGGCACCAAAGCTGGCCTCGGCCTGCTATAACTCCGGGTCATCCCATCGCTTTGGTTTCCATCCGAAATATCTGCGCCACCGGGAACCCGACGGTAACCCAGACTGGGATGCCATACAGCTGTTTCAATATATTATGCACGAATAGTGGTGCGTATTTCCACCTGTTCCCCCCCCCCACCCGATTGAAACGGGGTTTCTTCGTCGCCGGCGCCGGATCTCGTCCAAAAACACGGCGCTTCAAACCCCATCTTTTCAATAGACTCCAGAGGCATCCTACGCCGAACGGAGGTTTTTATTTTTTAGGAAGCCCTTTAAAATGAGAATTCCCCCCTGTAAAATGGAGGAGAGATTTAAAAAAACAAAAACAAAAAAAACCCACAATTCACTCCCCTATTCAGCACGGGTTTTTAAGCCCGGCATCCCTGACCAATCGTGAGATAGTGAACACAGCGCATCGCACCGCAGTGGTAAAGGGAAAGAGAGAAGAAGGTGGGTTGTCATTCTACACAAGCTGTGCCTGAATGGAGCTCCCCCCAAAAACACCTTTAAGCAAAACTGCCTTTCTTTCACCACCCCAACGTTGCTGAACCTCTCGAGACAACCCCCCCCCCCTGCCGCCCCCCAGAAGCTTTCCGGATGTTACATGACTTTCATGATGCAGATGCTTATTGATTCTCTCGGAGGAAGCAAAGAGAGACTGCAGCAGGCGGTGGGCTCGGCGGCGTTACCAGCGGTGTGCACCATGAAGGAGACGCTGAAACAATAGCCGAGGCCAGATTTTTTTTTTAAAGGGGGGGGGGTAGAAGATGCTTTGGATTCCCTTCTCTTCAACTCGGCTGACGAGTGAAAAACCCAAACGAAACCCCCGTCAGCATGAATGCCGCCGACCTGGAACTGCTGAACCATCTTCGGGAATTCACTCAGACCTGGCTGGAGGTAAGGTGTAACCCTTATTTACAAAATTCAGAGCCTCGGCGGCATCTAAGGGTTTGGGAATATTTTTTTAAGATAACTTTTATTGTCGTTTGATTTTTTTTTTGGTACTGTGAGCACACTGGCTCACGTTAAAAATGAAATTCCGTTTGGCTGCTCTCAAGAGAAAGTGCACAGCTACCCAAAACACATACATAACACAGATCTACACCAGCTATATACAGACGTAGAAATATATACCTGCACCAGAAATATATACCTGCACCTCCTTCTCGCGCCCCCCCTCCCACATGTATGTATGCATTTCAAGTTCAGCTTAAAATTCTGCTTTGACGTCTCAGGCTTCTGCTTTGATTGATGCCCGTAAGGTTGGCACGATCGTCAATTTTTCATGTTTCATTTGGAGAGGTAGAAAATATGCAAGGGGTTTTTTTTTGGTGTGTGTGTGGGGTGGGGGGCCAAAATGCTCTCCGGAGAGCGTGCGGTTTGAGTTCTAAGCTGTTTGCGTGGTTAAAAAAAAAAGGGGGGGGGGGCTTCCATCAAAATTATTAGACAGCCACTCGTCTATTCCAACCATCCATCGACAGCTGCTCCTTTGAGGGAAGATGGGTCGTACGGCAAATTTTTAATTGCTGGAGAGGAAAAGTAAGACTCGGTTTGTGGGGGCACTGTTCTTAAATGCTTCGTGACCGAAGACACGTTTTGGGGAGGGGGAGAAAAAGAAAAGGCATGTAAGTGGATAGACAGGTAGGGATTGAAAAGGTAGGTGGCAAAACAGGTGAGTTAAAATGTTGGGGGAAGCAACTGAATTTTTTTTTTTACATTGCATTTCATAGCAAACCCTGATTACAAATCCGTAAAGGAACGCTGCCATTCTCTTGCTTTCAATGCCATCTTTAAACACATCCAATTTAAAAAGATCAAGCTGGTAAATCTGGGGGTGGGGGGTGGGGGGGTGGGGAGAGAACCGTATTTGGAAATGCTTTGATCTTCTTGCAAACTTCCCACTCCCTCACCCCCCCCCCCCCCCCCCCCCCCCCCAAAAAAAGAGGCACTGCGCATGGTCCTACATGGTTTGGGAGTGACGGGAGATAATATTTGCCACGGATTGCTATCTTCGAATGAGAATTGAATCTCTTTATTTTTAATTTTTAAGGTTTTCGTGAATCACTTGGGCTTTCTTAACGACGACGTGAACAATACGGCTACCTAGGAATCCGAATAAGCAGGGGGGGATTGCAAGATGCGCTTACACGACAGACTTCAAACGAGAAAAGGAACAGAGAACTAACCAAGCTCCGATTTGCACGACGGATAGTGCAACGGTGTAGCGAGAAGCACCCGTCCAAATGGAAGTGTTAACACAACGACTCCCTCACTAAGGTCCAATTGTGAGCCCCTCCTACAAGTGGAATTACAATACAGCACCATGCAACCGGTGAACGAAGGAACAGCCAAGCCTTTAGATCGCAAAAGGAAAACCAACAAACCAGAAGCAATTCCAAATTAATTTCATATCTCGGGAATGTCTTCCTTGGGTCCCTCGTTCACAAGGACTAAAAGATTACGGAAACTATGCGTAGGATAAACAGGCTGGCGTGGTCCCTGGCTTTTCAAGCAAACGTATTAATATTTACGGCGTCGATTTCTTCTATAAAAGCGGTCACTGCGGCCTAATGAGCAGACTCTCCAATTTAAAACTGCCGTGGGAGGACATCGGAATAAACCTTTGAAGCCGGTTACATGGTGTTCATTTACATTTTGTGCAACTTCAGGGATTTCTTTTAAAAAAAAAAACAAGAACCGTGCCCACCTTCCCGAAGGATACGAATTTATGAACCGTTTTGCAAAGGCGCTGCTAGCTCCGCTGGTACTTTGAAACCTAAACCGATGTGTTTTACCTCACGATCGGTCGTGTTCGAATTTGGCCGGGTAATTTTGAGTTTTTGGGGGTGTCCAGGGTTGTTGGCGGCGATGTCTTGGGAAACGGGCAGCTGGAAAGTGCCGGGAATGAAGGAAAAGTAAAACATTCCGCCAGGGAGGCAGATCGTTTCGGCGTTCCGCCTGTGCCAAAACGCCTGTCAAAAAAACCCAACCTGTCAGCGACACCATGTGTGAACTCACGACAAGCTGTTATTGTCAGCCGAAAGGCTCTTGAGGCGATCCAATTCAGGTAAGGTCAGGCGTTTTCCTGAACGTTTGTTTAACGTTCGCCAAAGAAATATATTTCATTTTAATGATCTTCTCCCTTGTCATCTTCACGGCTTTTGTTTAACTGAAACTCTGCCTGACACGACTGGATGTTTAATCTCCCGCTGAAGGGTTGGCCCGGTGTTTTTCCGTTTTTGTGAGCTCCTCCTTGCAAGATTAGGCTGGGTGACGGCTCGCTTTATTTCCTCCAGCTTTACTACAAGTAGTCCTCAACTTACAACGGTTCAAAAGTGACTACGGCACTGAAAAGAAGCGACGGAGGACTGTTTTTTTCACACTTACGACCTTTGCGGCCTCCTCATGGTCAAAATCCAGCCATTTGGCAGCTTGCCTCATACTTACGACCGTTGCTGAGTCCTGGGGGGGTCACAGGATTCACTTTTGCAACCTTTCGACAAGCAGAGTCGACAGGGAAGCCAGGTTCACTTCACAAGCGGGTTACTAACTTATCACCCGCAGTGATTCATTTAACAAGTGAGGTGAGAGAGGTCGTAAAAGGGAGCTAAACTCACTTAGCCAATGTCTCACTTAGCAACAGAAATTTTGGGGTCGATTGTGGTCGTTAAACTGAGGATTATCTATATCTTTCTCTCTCTCTCTCTCTCTCCCTTTTTCTTGTCATCCGGGGCAAAACAACACAATTTACGGCGCATTTAGTATGACTGTTGTCATGACTAAGCCCCCACTAAGTGGCGATAAGTCATGCTTATTCTCTGATTATTTCTATGCCCAAAGTTACAACATAATAAATCCCTGTCTTTAAAAAATACCTCCGAGTATTGTAATAATTCCAATGTACCATTTCCTTTGGTTTATGTTAATTGAACAGACTACTGGTAGTCCTCGATTTATGACCACAATTGACCCCAAAATTTCTATTGTTAAGTGAGACATTTGTTAAGCGAGTTTTTGCCCCATTTTACAATCTCAGTCATTCAGCGAATCACTGCAGTTGGTAAGTTAATACCACGGTTGTTAAGTGAGTCTGGCTTCCCCCCTTGACTGTGCTTGTCAGAAGGTGGCAAATCACATGACCCCGGGACACTGCAACAGTCATAAGTACATGCCAGTTGCCAAGCATCTGAACTTTGATGGAGATGCCAAAAGGTCGTAATTGTGAAAAATGGTCCCAAATCACTTTTTTTTCAGCGCCGTTGTAACTTTAAATGGTCACTAAATGAACTGTTGTAAGTCGAGGACTACCGGTAGCCAATGTTAATTGTTTGAACAAGAAATCAGTCAAATCTGCATTTTGCAAATTTACACAGGATGTCAACTTCATACGTTTTGCAAATTCACGCAGGTAGTCCTCGACTTACAACGGTTTGCTTAGTGACCGTTCGAAGTGACAGCGGCACTGGAAAAAAGCGACTAGCCACCGTTTTTTTCCACACTTACAGCCGTTTTCAGCATCACGTGATCAAAATTCAGATGCTTGGCCACTGTCTCATATTTATGACAGTCGCAGTCACCCCCCCGGGGTCACGTCATCCCCTTTTGCAACCATCTGACGAGCAGAGTCAATGGAGGGGAGCCAGATTCATGTCGTAATATGGGGTGAACTTCACTTAACAAAGGTCTCGCTTAGCAACATAAATTTTGGGCTCAACTGTGGTCGTTAAGTCGAGGACCAGCTGTATTTTTTTTTGTAGAAGCTCCTCTTATTTCAGTGGGCTCAAAATATAAACAAGCATTAGAGGGCCCAATTTAATACGCTGAGCATTTATTTTTTTAAAAAAGTTATTTTCAGGCAACTGATAGAAATATTTCATCTTGTTATAATAAAACGCTGAAGGTGTAGCCGCAGCCTAAAGTCTAATGTTGAAATTATTATTTCACCAAATTAAGGTCCAGACTTTGATGTTGGACGTTAGAACAAATAGACAAATGTGTATCATCTATTTCACTTTGTCGACAACAGATCCACTATCACAAACGTGCCTCCCTGCCTAATTAGGTAACAAAAATACATTGTGATCTCCTGCTTAATGCAACTCCATAATTTGACGATATAAATTATGCAATTAAAAATGTCCTTAAAGGGAATATCCCCGAAATACAATACATTTATATGGCAACAGTATAAAACAATATACGACTGAGCATTAGGTATTTATGATACTTATTTAAATTACTAATACTGGGTTGTAACATGATATACACACCTACGTTTTACAGCTGTATGCATTTTAATACAGTGAAATAGCCAAAAGAGGTACTTTCCCAGTAGGAAATGGAGCTATTAATGACAAGTAAGGCTTATAGTTATGTTTTAAATTATACCATTTGGTGAAGGCCTTTAAAGGCATTTAAAGATCTCACCCTGCTTTTCAATCAAAAGGTTTCCAGATCAATTTTAAGAAATCAGGATGCAGTTTTCATCCAAAAGGAAAAAGAAGAAATGTTATTTCTTGCACGTGTATCTCCTTTACCTCACAATATTTTTCTTTCCCTTTCTTTCTTTCCTTCCTTCTTTTCTTTCTTTCCTTCCTTTCTTTTTTTCTTTCCTTTTTTCTTTCTTTCCATCCATCCATCTACCCACCCATCTATCATCCATCCATCTACCTACCTGTCCTTTCCTTTTCTTTCATCTTCCTTCCTTTCCTTCTTTCCTTTCTTTCTTTCCTTTCCTTTCTTTTCTTTCTTTCCTTCTTCCTTCCTTCTTTCTTTCTTTCTTCTTTCTTTCCTTTCTTTCATCTATCCCACCCATCTATCCATCCATCTACCTACTTACCTATCTTCCTTCCTTCCTTTCCTTCTTTCCTTTTCTTTCCTTTCCTTCCTTCTTCTTTTTTTCTTTTTCTTCCTTCCTTTTCTTTCCATCCATCTACCCACCCATCTATCATCCATCCATCTACCTACCTGCTTACCTCCCCAGCTGCTAGCTACCTGTCTACCTACTTACATACCTACCTACGTACCTACCTATCTACCCATCTATCCATCCATCCATCCATCCATCCATCCATCCACCCAGGGTTCCTCTTCGCTACCGATTCGGAACTGGGAGCTCACGTGTGGCGCTTCTGCGCATGTGCAGAGCGTCCGTGATGATGTCTGGGTGCATGGGCGGAGCCTCCCACCACCGCCACTACCAGTTTGCCCGAACTGGGATGAACTGGTAGAAACCCACCACTGCTACCCACCCATTTATCATCTGTCTGTCTCTCTGTCTGTGGGTGTCTGTCTGTCTGCCTACCTACCATACCTACCCATCCATCCATCCACCTACCCACCCATCCACCCAGCCATGATCCATCCGTCTATCCAACCATCATCTATCCATCATCCATCCATCCACCTACCTGATTTATCATCTGTCTGTCTGTGTCTGTCTGTCTGCCTGCCTACATACCTACCATACCTACCTACCCCATCCATCCACCTACCCACACACCCATCCATCTATCCATGCATTCATCTATCCATCCATCATCTATCCATAATCCATCCATCCACTTACCCACCTATTTATCATCTGTGTCCGTCTGTCTGCCTACCTACCTACTGTACCTACCTGCCCACCCATCCACCTACCCATCCATCCATCCATCCATCATCTATCCATCCATTCATCTATCCATCATCCATCCAACTATCCACTTACCCACCTATTTATCGTCTGTCTGTCTACCGTACCTACCCATCATCCATCTAGCCACCCATCCATCATCCATCCATCCATCCATCCATCCATCCATCCATCCATCCTTTATCTACCTTCACCAAACATGGAATTCAAAGCTAAGCAAGCATTTAATATGTATCACAAACATGCTCCTTGTCCTTAAAAAAAAAAGGAAGTAGCATTTCTTTTGTACTATTTTTAATTTCTGAAACCAGGTAGCAGTGTCTCTCTGCTGGTGAAACGAAGGAAATTATTTTCTGCAGATAAGTAAAATTAAAAAAAAAAAGAAAAAGAGCGGGAGAGCAAGAGCGAGAGCGCCCCAAATCTATCCGCTTCCTAACTTCATTCTCTTCTTTCAGAGCAAAAGAAACTTGGGAGAAAAGGATGTGTTTCTCTTCCATCCCAGAAGCCAACATGCAGTCGGAATCTAACATTACTGTCCGTGATGCCATCAGTGACTCTGAGCCCAATATGTACCAGCCACTGTCCTACCCACTGAGCTTTCAAGTGTCCCTCACCGGATTCCTCATGTTAGAGATCGTCCTCGGGCTCGGCAGCAACCTCACCGTATTGGTACTTTACTGTATGAAATCCAATTTGATCAACTCGGTCAGTAACATTATTACGATGAACCTTCACGTTCTTGACGTCATCATTTGTCTGGGGTGCATCCCTCTGACCATCGTCATCCTCCTGCTCCCGTTGGAGAACAATTCTGCACTCATCTGCTGCTTCCACGAGGCGTGTGTGTCGTTCAGCAGTGTGTCCACCGCCATCAACGTCTTCGCCATCACGCTGGACCGCTACGACATCTCCGTGAAACCCGCCAACCGGATCCTGACGATGGGCAGGGCCGTGATCCTCATGACGTCGATCTGGGTTGTCTCGTTCTTCTCCTTCTTGATCCCTTTCATCGAGGTCAACTTCTTCAGCTCCCACAGCGCCAACACTTGGGAAAACAAGACGTTGTTGTGCGTCAGCACCAACGAGTACCACACCGAACTGGGCATGTACTATCACCTGTTGGTGCAAATCCCCACTTTCTTCTTCACGGTGGTCGTGATGCTCATCACGTACAGCAAAATACTTCAGGCGCTCAACATCCGCATCGGCACCAGGTTTTCCACAGCGCAGAAGAAGAAAGCCAAAAAGAAGACCATTTCCTTGGCCACCCAACAGGAACCCACCGAGGCGCCGCACGCCAGCGGAGGGAGACATGTGGTTTTCGGTGTAAGGACTTCTGTTTCGGTTATCATCGCTCTACGGCGGGCGGTGAAGAGACACCGGGAACGCCGCGAACGGCAGAAACGAGTCTTCCGCATGTCACTATTGATCATTTCCACTTTTCTTCTCTGTTGGACACCAATCACCATTCTAAACACGATAATTTTATGTTTGGGACCAAGTGACCTTTTAGTAAAACTGAGGTTATGCTTCCTGGTCATGGCCTACGGGACGACCATCTTTCACCCTCTCCTGTACGCCTTCACCCGACAGAAATTTCAAAAAGTTTTGAAAAGCAAAATGAAGAAACGTGTCGTTTCCATCGTCGAAGCAGATCCCATTCCGAACAGTGCTGTGATACACAACTCCTGGATTGAACCCAAGAGAAGCAAGGCCATAACTTTTGAAGACAATGAAGTGAGGCAGAAGTGTTTAGTACCTCAAGTGGTCACGGACTAGATTCCCGTATCCGCTGGATTATTTAAGGGGAGGGGGAGGGAAAGTCAAGGATAAACCTTGGCTGCCAAATACAGAGATTTTTTATTAAAAACAAAAACAAAGGAAGAGAAAATATAAGCCAGACTGTAATGGTTTGATGTGCGTTTCAGACAAACCAGAAACGGTGTATTTATTTCCTCATTATTTGAGACGTGTCTTGCATGGCGGTTTGTTAAGCGTAAAATCATGGCTATAATTTTGTCAATACTCTGTCCTCCGATATACCTTTAAGTAAATATTTTCTAACAAGAAAAGCCTTAAAATAGTGCTCACTTTTCAAAAAAAAAAAAAAAAAAAACCACAAAAAATCGGTCTCTTTTGCTGTAAATATGTAAAGCTTTATTTTTAAAGTTTGGGCTGGAGAAATAGAGAAATAAGGCCTATTCGACACCTTATTTTGGCACACTATTCAGGTTTCTGACAATAAACTGAAAACTTTTTCCTCAATTATAATTATAAGCTTAAAATTATAGCTATGTGCCCCAAATAACCACCAGCTTTGTGAGTTCAAGGTACTCTCTTATTTTGAGCCGCAATATATGCCTTTACAAAGAGTTTTCATCCGAAGGATATTATGGTGTAGTTTTTTTTTTATATTAAACTCAGGCTGAGAGAGGTTTGGTTTTACTGTACAATAAGAATTTTCTAAATTGCAATTATTTTTAATTCTTCCTAAAATTTCTGTTTGGCTAACAGGAATGAATTTGCGTATTTTGAAGGATTCTTCCATGCGTATATATCAATGTTTCAGTCCAGAAATGTGGTTTTTATACACTGCTAAACTGCTTGTTCCTATTTCTAAGCAAATTGGAGTTGATAAGCCAAAATGTGTTGCCAAATCAAAATCCTCAGTCCAAGACAACAAGAAAAGCCAAGGTTGTTTGGCTACTATTCCACATTAATCATATTTATTTATTTGTATCCTGCCTTTATTATTTTTATAAATAACTCAAGGTGGTTAACATATCCAACATACTTTCCTCTCGTATTTTTCCCACAACAACCCTGTGAGGTGGATTGGGCTGAGAGAGAGGCACTTAGCTGGCTTCATAGCTAAGGCGGGACTAGAACTCACAGTCTCCTGGTGATTGGCCCAACGTCACCCAGCTGGCTTTCATGCCTAAGGCGGGACTAGAATTCACAATCTCCTGGTGATTGGCCCAGCGTCACCCAGCTGGCTTCATGGCTAAGGTGGGACTAGAACTCACAGTCTCCTGGTGATTGGCCCAGCGTCACCCAGCTGGCTTCATGGCTAAGGTGGGACTAGAACTCACAGTCTCCTGGTGATTGGCCCAATGTCACCCAGCTGGCTTTCATGGCTAAGGCGGGACTAGAATTCACAATCTCCTGGTGATTGGCCCAACGTCACTCAGCTGGCTTTCATGCCTAAGGCGGGTCTAGAATTCACAATCTCCTGGTGATCGGTCCAGCGTCACCCAGTTGACTTTCATGGCTAAGGCGGGTCTAGAATTCACAATCCCCTGATTGGTCCAATGTCACCCAGTTGACTTTCATGCCTAAGGCGGGTCTAGAATTCACAATCTCCTGGTGATTGGTCCAACGTCACCCAGTTGTCTTTCATGGCTAAGGCGGGTCTAGAATTCACAATCTCCTGGTGATTGGTCCAACATCACCCAGTTGTCTTTCATGGCTAAGGCGGGACTAGAACTCACGGTCTCCTTGTGATTGGCCCAACGTCACACAGCTGGCTTTCACAGCTAAGGCGGGTCTAGAATTCACAATCTCCTGGTGATTGGTCCAACATCACCCAGTTGTCTTTCATGGCTAAGGCGGGACTAGAACTCCCGTCTCCTGTTTTCCACCCTGGTGCCTTAACCACTGGACCAAACTGGGTCTCCTATTATCTTTGATCTTTCCCAAACCACTCCGTGTTTTAAAGATGACTTTTGTGTTCCCCAATAAAATTTACTCAAGGTCATTCCAATTTTGCAATACCCAACTCCCTTTGACATCCATTCTAAAATGCTGCAGGGTCGAACTACCCAATGAGGATTATTTTTACACAGAACGTTAGAAAGCATCCGTCGGCCAATCTAAACAATTAATCGGTACCACAGTGGTCCTTCGTCCAATTTAAAACAATTACCTGTTCATTGGTCAAAAACCTTTTTCAAGGATCAAAAATCCATTTGCTTCAGGGAAGGAAAGAACCCACCCAATGTCCTACTCATCCTTATCTTATTCTTCTATATATCGATATAAATTATATCGAGGTACAATTCTTACTCTTACGTCCTGAACAGGGTTAGCGTCCGAAAGGGTTGATGATTACAATCTCTTATCTATAATCATCTTATGCTCCAACACTGGAATTTTTTTTAAGAAGAGACTGCACAACCAATTTGTCTGAAATGGAAAGATTTCCTGCCTAAGCAGGGGGTTGGACTAGAAGACCTCCAAGGCCCCTTCCAACTCTTCTCTTCTCTTCTTCTTCTCTTCTAAAATGTAGTAAATTATGGGCCCCCTTCCAACTCTGTTACTCTATTTAAAAAAAAGATAAATGTTTGCTTCTCCAAGTGTTTTTAAACTATAGTACCATGATGGCAAACCTATGGCACGCGTGCCAGAGGTGGCACACGGAGCCATATCAGTGGGCACGCAAGTGTTGTCCTAGCTTAGCTCCAGCGGGAGGGCCTCCGGGGGGGAGGAGGCCCGTTTTTCACTTTCCCCAGGCTTCAGAGGCTTTCTAGGAGCCTGGGGAGGGCTAAAACAGCCTTCCTCACCCCCAGGAGGCGGGAAATGGCATGTTTCCCGACTTCCGGTCCCCTCCCCCCAAAAAGCCTCTGGAAAAACAGACCTACCGGGCCCACCGGGCCATTGTGTGCCAAAAGCAGGGGGAGCCCAGGGAAGTTTCATGCACATGCGGGGGGGGCGTATTGAATTATGGGTGTGGACACATGTGCACATGACCCCCCCGCGCTCGCCCAGCTTTTGGCATGAGAAAGCAAAAAGGTTAGCCATCACTGCTATAGTACTACAAAATTTACCTCTTCTGGGTAATGTGAGGGCTCCGGCATCTCTATTGTACAGCATAATCAATCCAAAGGGATAAGCAAGAGCATCTACCAGTCCAGCTGGTGGTAGTTGGTTAAGTAGGAAGAATCTGGCGGGAAATGCAACAAGACAAATTCCTTGTGTGTCCAATCACACTTGGCCAATAAAAAATTCTATTCTATTCTATTCTAAATGTGGTTGGTGGACGATCAGATGATCAGAAATCAAAAGTTCCAGTTACTCTAAGACGGGGGTGTCAAACTCGATTTCATTGAGGGCCGCATCAGGGTTGTGTTTGATCTTGGGGTGGGGGGGCATGGCCAGCTCTACATCATTCGTGTCGGGGTTGCCTGTGGTGGCCTGAACGCTCTGACAGAGAAAACGGGCTCCCAAGCTCTGTTTTCCACTGCGATGGTCTCCTGCAACCCTCTGCCAGCAAAAACGGAGCTCGGGGGGGCACATGTGGCCCTTGCAAGCTCTGTTTCCCGCTGGGGCAGCCTCCTGCAACCCTCTACCAGCAAAAACGGAGCTTGGGGGGACACGCGTGGCCCTTGCAAGCTCTGTTTTCGGCTGGGACGGCCTCCTGCAACCCTCTACCAGCGAAAACAGAGCTCGGGGGGGGGGGGCATGAGTGGCCCTTGGAAGCTCTGTTTTCAGCTGAGATGGCCTCCTGCAATCCTCTGCCAGCGAAAACGGAGCTTGGGGGGCCACAGGCGGCCCTTGCAATCTCTGTTTTCGGCTGGAATGGCCTCCTGCAACCCTCTGCCAGCAAAAACGGAGCTGGGGGGGGAATAATCCTTCATTATTTGCAGGGCGGCCCCACGAGCCAGATCTAAGCACCCTGTGGGCCGCATCTGGCCCACGGGCCTTGAGTTGGACACCCCTGCTCTAAGACTAAGGCATGGGAACGAAAGGCTTGCAAACATTTTCACGATATGCTTAGGGAGATACATGGCTATTTATGTTCTAGGCTGCCAAGCTGCCATAGATACATAATTTAATCATACGATTAAGCCACAACTTACCAGTCTTAACTCTCAAACAGCCACAACCTTGGAGTTTTGCAAATTTGTTTGCTGGGTAATTGTGTTACCTGTAGTCCTGGACTTACAACCATCCGTTGAGTGACCATTCGGATTAACCACAGCACTGAAAAAAAGTGACTTAGGACTGTTTTCACACTTACGACCATCGCGGCATCCCCCTCGGTCACGTGATCAAAATTCGGACGCTTAGCAACCATTTATGACGGTGGCAGTGTCACAGGGTCATGTGATCGACTTTCTGACAAGCAAAGTCAACGGGGAAGCCAGATTTACTAACAACTGTGTTACTAATTTACCAGCTGCAATGATTCCCTTAGCAACTGTGGCAAGAAAGGTCGTAAAATGGGACGAAAGTCACTTAATAACTGTCTCGTTTAGCAACGGACATTTTTTAAGCTAAGTTGTGGGCGCGGATTACCTGTCCTGTTTTCAGAGTTAATTCCTGAAAGGGCGAGAAGATTCCTGTATTATAGGCAGAATACAATGAAGTAGTAAACTTGGACTCTATCCATGTAAATCAGGGGTGGGTTCTAAATTTTTTTACTACTGGTTCTGTGGGCGTGGCTTATTTTGTGGGCGTGGCTTGATGGTCATGTGACAATTCTACGGTCTACCCATTTGTTTTTGGAGGCACCAGTCTACCACCACACTGCCTTTTAACACTGATCAGCTGTAGGGCGGCCCTTTGAAGCCCCGCGGCAAGAGTTTAAACAGCTTGGACTCGGGAGGCAGCAAATAGATTGGGGGTGGGGCCAAATAAAAGGTAAGAATAACGCGGGGTAGCGGGGGGCACGGGGGGGGAAGAACCGGTTCGGTGACATCATATCGTCGCCGCTACCGGCTCAGCGGAACCGGGCCGAACCGGGGGGAACCCACCACTAATGTAAATCTAGTGTTACAAAAGCCCAATTTTCTAAAAAAAAATTTTTTAAAAAACCCCATGAAAAGAAAGCAGCGATCATATTCCACAGATGCTCCATTAGAAATCATCGAAGGCTGTCAATTTTACTTCTGTTTTAATCTTTCCTAAGAAAAACTGCCAGGAATAAAATCAGAAGCAGCTAATCAGTATCTATCTGTGGGATACGGTTAAGAAAAGAAAAAAAAATCCAGATGGCAGCCACAATACATGACTCAGTCCAGAGCTGGTATTCAGTAGGTTCTGACCAGTTCTGGAGAACCGGTAGCGGAAATTTTGAGTAGTTCGGAGAACCGGTAGTAAAAATTCTGACTGGCCCCGCCCCCATCTATTCTCTGCTTCCCGAGTCCCAGCTGATCGGGAGGAAATGGGGATTTTGCAGTAACCTTCCCCTGGATTGAGGAGGGAATAGAGATTTTACAGTATTCTTCTCCTGCCACGCCCACCAAGCCACGCCCACAGAACCGGTAGTAAAAAATTTTGAAACCCACCACTGGCTCTTTATTGCACATAAAAAGCAGAGCAATATATCATTGTGGCTGCCATCTTGCCTTTCTTTCTTTCTTTCTTTCTTTCTTTCTTTCTTTCTTTCTTTCTTTCTTTCTTTCTTTCCTTCCTTCCTTCCTTCCTTCCTTCCTTCCTTCCTTCCTTCCTTCCTTCCTTCCTTCCTTCCTTCCTTCCTCTTTTCTCTTTCCTTCTTTCCTTCCTTCTTTCTTTCTCTTTTCTCTTTCCTTCCTTCCTTCCTTCCTTCCTTCCTTCCTTCCTTCCTTCTTTCTTTCTCTTTTCTCTTTCCTTCCTTCCTTCTTTCCTTCCTTCCTCCCCCCACCTCTCTTTCTCTCTTTCTTTCTTCATTTGGATCAAAGAGAGTTCCGACCATCAATTAAGCAGAAATTTCCTGACAGTGAGAACAATTAATCAGTGGAACTGCTTGCCACCATAAATTGTGGGTGCTCCAACACTGGAGGTTTTTAAGAAGATGTTGGATAACCATTTGTCTGAAGTGGTGTAGGGTTTCCTGCCCAAGCGGGGGGTTGGACTAGAAGACCTCCAAGGCCCCTTCCAACTCTTGTTATTCTATTCTATTCTATTCTATTCTATTCTATTCTATTCTATTCTATTCTATTCTATTCTATTCTATTCTTCATTAAAATGTACTTTTAATCTCCTACGACATACTCTAGCAGCTATCTAATTAATGCATGAATGAGCTTTGCTTTGCTTCCATTTTCAAAAGTTCGCATTCAAGAATAAATTCTATTCTAATGAAGACAAAACACGTACATTAAAAAAAAAATTTGAGACAATCTCAGAGCTACAACTAGAAAACCCTAATCTCATTAAGACTTCCCTTTCAACAAAGCAGTGACTAAACAGCTATTTATTATTTAGGATAAGTAAAGCCATTTTAAAAACTTTTAAAGGAAAATTAAAATTTAAGTCAATTTTCCCCAGAAGCCTACCAAATAGATTTGAGGGGATTTTTTTGTGGGCACAAGAATAAGAGCAAGCAAGAAATGTAGGTTTAATCTTCACTCATCATTCACTGCAAATTGATAAACAACATATTACCCCAGGACTAACTTGGTTTAAGAGAATTATCCTGATCTGTTGAAAATGTAGAGCCCCTTTGCGTTCTCACTATAAGGTTCCCCTCGCACATACGTGCTAGTCGTTCCCCACTCTAGGGGGCGATGCTCATCTCCGTTTCAAAGCCGGAGAGCCAGCGCTGTCCGAAGACGTCTCCATGGTCATGTGGCCGGCATGACTAAACGCCAAAGGCACACGGAACGCTGTTCCCTTCCCACCGAAGGTGGTCCCTATTTTTCTACTTGCATTTTTTTACGTACTTTCGAACTGCTAGGTTGGCAGAAACTGGGACAAGTCACGGGAGCTCACCCCGTTACGCGGCACTAGAGATTCGAACCGCTGAACTGCCGACCTTTCGATCGACAAGCTCAGCGTCTTAGCCACTCAGCCACCGTGTCCCTTATGTTCTCACTATACTGAAATATTAAAGTTTACAATTCAACACCGCACCCAACTGAGACACATTAACTTCTGTTTCAAGGTCCTTCAAACTTTCTCTTCCCTAAGAACTTGCAGAGTGACAAACAAGAGCAATTCTTGTCAGTGTAGGCTGTCAGTTTTCGATGACACCACATCAATAATCCGCAAAATGAAGGCCACTGGAGCTGAGAAATTGACAAAGATGAGTCTTTGTGCAAAGGATGTTCCCTTACTATTGTGCAGAAAGTACTTTGATTTTTCTTTTTTTAAAAAAAACCAACATATGTCCAATTCTTGACTTAACAACCATTCATTTAATGCCCATTAAAATGGCACTGAAGGCAGTGACTTATGGCCATTTTCACACTTACGACCCTTACAGCATCCACGTGGTCACGCAATCAAAATTCAGATGCTCGGCAACTGCCTCGTATTTATGACGTTTGCAAGTGCCCCAAGATCGTGTGATCCCTTTTTGCGACCTTCCGACAAGGAAAAGTCCATGAGGAAGTCAGATTCACTTAACAACCGGGTTCTTAATTTAACAACCGCAGATGATTCGCTTAACAACTGTGTCAGGAAAGGTCGTAAAATGGGGGCAAAACTCACTTCACAAATGAAGCCTCGCTTAGGGATAGACATGCGGGCTTGATTTTGGTCATATGTCAAGGACTAGACCTGTAAAGCATCCAAGCAATATCCACAATATCTAAAAATCGATCTGACAAGTTTCTGTTTGGTTCCCACGACAATTCTGAGAAACATACAACGAAACGTTAAGTATGGCTAACTTCCGAAGTGTTCCAACCTAGGCTTCCCAAGAGCATGAAGCAAACTCCTTCTCCCGACAAAAAACGAAACTTTTTATTAAGATACTGTGAATTCCTCTCATTCACATCCAGCAAAGTCTTTCAAGGGAGAATTTATAGTCACAGACCTCATCTGGCTTGGAGAGCTGCCAGGCCGATATCTTCAAAACTTGGCAAGTGAGGGAGAGTCATGAACTAATTCAGCGAACTGATTGTCTCCTGCAAACTCCTCTCCCCTTTCGCTCCTCTTTTATTCCCTCTGGGAGGGGCCATTCACCATCCACCTGTGGCTTTACTCCTGAGTCGGCCCTTGTTCCTTAGCTGTTCCCTTCTCCTGGCAGCTCTGTGCATGCGCACATTGGGAACAGGCTCCAGCTGTTCTTCTGCCTCACTGATGTCTGACTCCGAAGGCAGTTGACAACTGACAGACGGCCTTGGCCCCCATTCTGCCTCCGACGCAGAGCACTCGTCAGAACCTTCCCCAGACTCCAGGACTGGCCTATGTTCCTCCCCAACCTCCTCACTTTCTGAGTCTGCCACCAGCTCCGCTGGCCGCTGACGGGCCACAACACAAAGACTCATATTGACACGATTTTTCAAATAAAAGAAAATCCACCTCGAATCGTTCGAGATTTTTTTTTTTCTGAAGAAAACCCACACAATTGGCAAACACACGGTCTTAAAAAACAACAACAACAACAAAAAAAACCCCAACCCACTGGACTTACCGAGTTCATTGAGACTCTGAGCAGCTTTGGTGATTTCCCGGCTTCCACCTTGAAGCTGGCCTTGAAGTCTTTTGCTGAGGTACAAAATCCGTATTATTCTCCTCAGCAGGTCGCAAGCAGCCTTGAGAGGAAAACATTGAATTAATGTTTTGATATGCCCAAAAAAAGCCAACACAGTTCTAGGCTGCATAAACAGAGGAATAGAATCAAGATCACGTGAAGTGTTAATACCACTTTATAATGCCTTGGTAAGGCCACACTTAGGCTAGAAATAACACCAGAATGTTTCCTTCCTGCCTTCCTTACAGGATTAGCACTGTAAAATGGGAAAAAACAAAATAAGATTTCTTCCGACAACCGGTTCTCCGAACTGCTTAGAAAGTTAACAACCGGTTTTCCCGAATAGGTGCGAACTGGCTGAATCCCACCACTGGACTGGAGGCTAAAATATATGAAGAACGGTTGCTGGAACTGGGTATGTCTACTTTAATGAAAAGAAGGACTAGGGGAGACATGATAGCAGTCTTCTAATATCTCAGGGGCTGCCACAAAGAAGAGGGAGTCAAGCTATTCTCCAAAGCACTTGAGGGCAGGACAAGAAGCAATGGACGGAAACTAATCAAGGAGAGAAGCAACTTAGAACTAAGGAGGAATTTTCTGACAATTAGAACAATTAATCAGTGGAACAACTTGCCACCAGAAGTTGTGGATGCTCCAACACTGGAAGTTTTTAAGAAGAGATTGGACAACCATTTTTCTGAAGTGGTATAGGGTTTCCTGCCTAAGCAGGTTGGAGGACTTTTAATCCAACCCCCTGCTTAGGCAGGAAACCCTACACCACTTCAGACAAATGGTTATCCAACCTCTTCTTAAAAACTTCCAGTGTTGGAGCTTTTGCAACTTCAGGTTGTTCCACTGATTAATTGTTCTCACTGTCAGGAAATTGTCATCCGATGGGAGCTAGGAAGCACGGCTTTTCCGCGGCAGTTTCAAACTTATAGTGTATATGTATAATTATATGCATATAATTATTTATTTTTTTGAGGGGCGCGAGGATCTATCAGAAGCGTTCTAGGGGTGAGAGGTATAGAAAAGGTTGGGACCCCCCTGCGCTAGATTCTTCTACTCTTATATAGCGGATGAACACATAGTTATACTTTGCTATGTAAAAAAAATAATAATAACCTGGTTTACATTATATCTCAGTACACCACTACAACATATATAGTATATACTCATGATCTCTTAAAGCTGACTCCGGTAATCCCTGTATCAAAGACGATCACTTATGCGGACTCTTTGTCTGTAACAAGGAACTAGGGCGGACTATGTGAAGTGCTTGAGGTTTAACAGTGAAAAATACGATGTCCTACTAAATATGAATCATATTTAGAATATGAAGCCGTAATGGGAACATTTTGTTGTGATGTAATTAAGATGTAATGTTAAACTAGAATTTAGTGGTATAGATATTGTACATAAAGCTTCCTTTCTTTCCTTTCCCCTCTTCCCTTTTTCTTTTCTTTTCTCTTTTCTTTCTTCCCCACCCTTCCCATTCTTTTCTCCTTTCCTGTCCTTTCTCCTTTCCTTTCTTCTTTCCTTTCCTTTCCTCCTCTTTCTCCTTTCCTTTCCCCTTTCCTTTCTTCTTTCCTTTCCTTTCCTCCTCTTTCTCCTTTCCTTTCCTTTCCTTTCCTTTCCCCTTACCTTCCTTCCCTTTCCCCTATCCTATCCTATCCTATCCTATCCTATCCTATCCTATCCTATCCCTTCCCCTTCCCCTTCCCTTTTCTCTTCTCTTTCTCATTCACAAGGAGGACAACAGCATAGCCCTCTTCACTAATCTCCTTTCCTTTCCTTTCTTTCCTTCCTTTCCTTTCCCCTTCCCTTCCTTCCCTTCCCTTCCCTTCCTTTTCCCCTATCCTATCCTCCTTTCCTTTCCTTTCCTTTCCTTTCCTTTCCTTTCCTTTCCTTTCTTCCTTTTCCTTTTCCTTTCCTTTCCTTTCCTTTCCTTTCCTTTCCTTTCCTTTCCTTCCCTTTCCCTTTCCCTTTCCCTTTCCCTTTCTCATTCACAAGGAGGCCAACGGCATAGCCCTCTTCACTAATCCGTTTTCTACTTCATCTAAATCAGGATTAGTTCATCCAAACTGGTCAGGGTCACAAATCTGGAGCCTGATCTTATTTATTTTGTGCGTGTCGCTCACCGTTTCAATATTAAACCGTGGAGATGAAATGCCAAACTCCGAATGTCAAACCGAAGTGGATGCCCCTCAATTTACTCCTCGTAGTAACACTTCAAAAGCCAGTGTGCTTGTTCATCAATTACCAGCATAGCGTGACTTTCAAATACATGACAAGGAGAAGTGGCACCCTTTCCACCAACTAGTTTTCTGCAATTAAATCTTCAGCTAAATGAACTTGCTTAATGACTTTAATTATGTGTATGGAGGCACCAGCATAAATCATTCACAGCACAATTGCAGTTCTAAACCCACTCAGCGCTACAAAACCTGTGGACTGTACAACGACAGGATTTGGATTACGTTCCTCGGTACCGTAATGGCTCCCTTTCGTTCCAAACCAGTACATTTTAATTGTTTGCACCACTGAATAAATTATGCAATTACAAAGAGAGGGATTTTCTTCCATGGTAATTAACGTCACGATTTTAATCCGTTATTTAAAGCCAACCCTTTCCTCCTTTAATGTGTAATTGGAGTAACCGAGCTTGCCTAAGATGCGCGAACATACAAATCGCACGAAGGATGGGAAAAAAGCTCAAAAGAGTACGAGAACCGAACTACGCGAGAATTGCATTTTATAGTATTTTCCAAGGCAGGGGCTGAATTCTACAAATAAGTGAATGAAGTTCTTATATGTTTTGATATCTGACAACCTTTGCGTTCTCAAAGATCCATATAGGGTTTGAAAAGGCAGGCAAGCTTGAAAGATTCCAGCTATAAAAATTATTCTAAAAGCAGATTATTATTTTTTTTAAAAAGCTGCTTTTAGTCGCTTGTGATTTTATACAGGCCGCTGGTTCGTATGAGGAATTTTGGCCCTTCAAAGTAAATCAACAGTCCCGCTATCACAAGCCTGGCATATCAACAGCTAAACAAACAATCTGGCAAGGAAAAGAACACGAAGAAAAGAGAGGCCTATATATATATGCATATTCTTTCTAGCCAGGTTTTACCTACGTAAGCTAAGGTGTTCTACAGCCCTGGTTCTGTGAAATCTCATTCACAAGTTTCTGGGCTTTTTATTTCTAGCTGACAAACAGCAACTCTGTGTTGCTCTCTGGGAGACTCAGATAGCTATTTCTGCCTTGTAAGGCGTCATCAGTGAGCCACACCCTCTTCTCAGGTATCCTCCCTGTAAAGGTACAATGTGTCTAGAAAGAATATGCACATAAAAGCCTACGAAAAAGAAAAAGACACATTGTACCTTTACAGGGAGGATACCTGAGAAGAGGGTGTGGCTCACTGATGAAGAGTTGCTGTTTGTCAGCTAGAAATAAAAAGCCCAGAAACTTGTGAATGAGATTTCACAGAACCAGGGCTGTAGAACATCTTAGCTTACGTAGGTAAAACCTGGCTAGAAAGAATATGCACATAAAAGCCTACGAAAAAGAAAAACACACACACACACACACACACACACACACACACATATATATATATATATGTAATAAAATTCATCATCATCATTGAACGACCCCTTAATCCCTTGCGGGGTGAAGTCTGGGCAACTGAATGGAGCTAGCAGAGTGTTTGAATGGCCGGATGCCCTTCCTGTTGACAATGAGGAGTTTTGTTCAGCAGATATATTTTCAGTGTGAGAGAGAGAGAAATGTCTGCCTCTACCTAGGATTGAACTCACAGCCTCCTCATCGTGAGGCAAGAGCTCCGCCTCTAGGCCACCGCACCACTCTTTTTTTATTATTATTAAAATTGCCGAGTGAAAAACACTCTCTCTGGCTCCATCACAGTTTTCTGTATTTTATAATATGCTTTTCATATTAATGTAACCTCCCAAGAGGAGATTAGAAAGAGAAATACAGGTAGCCCTCGACTTACAACCACAATCGAACCCCAAATTTCTGTTATTAAGTGAGACATTTGTCAAATGTTACCATTTCCCCATTTTACGACCTTTCTTGCCACCGCTGTTAAGCGAACCGCTGCGGTTGTTACATTAGTAACCCGGTTGGTTAAGGGAATCTGCCTTCCCCCCATCGACTTGGAAGTTGCAAAAGGGGATCAGGTGACCCCGGCACGGTCATAAATATGAGTCAGATGCCAAGCGTCTCAATTTTGATCAGGTGACCACGGGGATGCCGCGACGGTCGTTATGTGAGAAAAATGCCCCTAATGGTCGCCTTTTTCAGTGCTGTGGTAACTTTGAACGGTCGCTAAAGTGAACCATTGTAAATCCAGGGCTAGCTGTGAAAGGAAAGACCATGATTTTAATTTAACTGATGGTAGGTAGATATCAGTTCGTCATTAAACACTAAATAAAAATTTAGGACAAAGCTATTGTTTGAGGTCTGACAATGCTTGATGCAGTTGAATTGGATACGGGGAAAATACAATTGCGTTAATCTTGCCGTACAAGCCTGAAATGTTAAAGATTTGTCAATTTTTCTCTGTTTAACCACAATTATCATCTTAAGATGGATCTTGGCAGACTTGAACCCTGGGCCCTATCTAACAAAATGAAATCCAATGTAGAGAAAAGTAAACTCTTACACTCAGGCAAGAAAAACCAAAAGTACAGATATAGACTGGATCAGTGGTGGGATGCCCCCGGTTTGGATCGGTTCGCAAGAACCGATAGTAAAACCAGCGGGAGCCCCACCCCCCACCCTGGATGTCGTCATCAGTGATCTGTGCATATGCAGAAGCTCGCGCGCGTGCGCAATCCCGTTGCAAACTGATGGTAAAAGTAAGTAGAACCCACCCCTAGACCGGGTGAAACCAGGCTTAATAGTTAGTTAGTTAGTTTATTATATTTATATACCGCCCCCTCTCCCCAGGGATTCGGGGCGGTGAACAGCGAGCAAATAAAATACAGAGATACAAAATTTAAAACAATATTAAAATCCAATTAAATCAATTTGGCCCATAGTTAAAAACCCTATATTAAAACCCCTAATTTTTAAAACAATTTTTTTTAAAAAAGAGTAGGTCAGGCCAGCCCGGCTTGATGAAACAAAAATGTCTTTAGGGCAGTTCGGAAAGCACGAAGGTCAGGGATCCACCGTATCTCTAGGGGCAACTCGTTCCAGAGGGTAGATGCCCCCACAGAGAATGCTCTCCCCCTGGGGGCCGCCAGCCGGCATTGTCTGGCCGACGGCACCCTGAGGAGGCCCTCTCTGTGGGAGCGTACTGGTCGGTGGGAGGCTACCGGTGGCAGAAGACGGTCTTGTAATAGCAGTAACTGTGAGAGGGATCTTGGAGTTTTAGCGGACAACCAATTAAATATGAGTTAACGGTGTGCGGCGGCGGCCAAAAAAGCCAATGCAATCCTAAATTGCATTAACAAAGGGACACACAATCAAGATCAAGGGAGGTACTAATACCCCTCTGTAAAGCCTTAGTAAGGCCACACTTGGAATCCTGCATCCAGTTTTGTTTCACCACACTATAAAAAAAAAGATGCTGAGACTCCAGAAAAAGTGCAGAGAAGAGCAACCAAGATGATGAGGATAAAACATACGAAGAACAGTTGCAGGAACTGGGCACGGCTAGTCTAGTGAAGAGAAGGACCAGGGGAGACATGATAGAAGTCTTCCAATATTTGAGGGGCTGCCACAGAGAGGAGGAAGGGGGTCAAGCTATTTTTCAAAGCACCCCAAAGCCAGACAAGGAATAATGGATGGAAACTGACCAAGGAGAGATTCAACCTGGAAATAAGGAGGAATTTTCTGACAGTGGGAACAATCAACCCATGGAACAGAAGTTGTGGGAACTTCATCACTGGAAGCTTTCAAGAAGAGACTGGACTGCCATTTGTCAGAAATGGTATAGGCAGGGTCTCCTGCTTGGGCGGGGGGTTGGACTAGATGACCTACAAGGTCCCTTCCAACTCTGTTAGTCTATTTTAGGCACGATATCAAGGGGACCTAGAATTTTTTAAAGTGCTAAAGGGAAATACAGCAGAACAAAGATAGTACATAAAGAAATAATGCTTGAAACTAGGAAGTGTAAATTCCTGAATAGTGTTAACCTGATAGTGATGAGTTGTGTAAACAGAAACAAATGTAAATATAAGTACGTAGATGAACAATTGAATAAAAATAGAGAATATATATCCATGCCGATACGGTAAGCTGTAAAATAATATATGATGTAATGTTATGCTTGTTATGTGTTTTTAACGTGTTTTTGTTGTATTTTTCTTTATTTTGTTTTTTAAAAGTCAAAAGTTCAATAAAAATTATTTTAAAAAAAGAAAAGAAAAAATGCTTCTTTTTATAAAGCTTACTCCTTGCTACAGGTAGTCCTCGACTTACAAGAGTTCATTTAATGACCGTTCGAAGTTACAACAGGGCTGAAAAAAGCGACTCTTGAGCATTTTTCACACTTACAACGGTTGCCGCATCCCCTTCGACACGTGATCAAACTTCAGACATTTGGCCACTGACTCATATTTATGACGGCTGCAGTGATTCTCCTTTTGTGACCTTCTGACGAGCAAAGTCAACAGGGAAGCTAGATTCACTTAACAACCGTGTTACGATCAACTCTCCTAACAATTGTGGCAAGGAAGGTCATAAAATGGAGTAAAATTCACTTAACAATTCTCAAACAATCTCGCTGTTTGAGGGAGTTGCGTAACATTCCCAGAGACTCTTCCCATCCTGCTTACAATCTATTTGGACCTTTGCCTTCTGGCAGAAGATACGGAACAATTAAAACTCGGACCACACGTTTTCTGAATAGTTTTTATCCCAGAGCTATAATTGCACTCAACAATGAACTAAAGGGCCACCATCAGTGAGCTGTTGGACAGCATTTCTTGGTCTGTTGTGTGGATGTTTGGGTGGTTTAGGGGTGGGGAAATTGTGGTGGGTGGGTGTGTGTTTGGGGATTATTATGTGTGTTGGAACTGGTCTTTGGGTCTTAAGTGAATTTCATTGTATGGGTATACTGTGTATACACATACAATGACAATAAACTTATTTATTTAAAAATGTCTCGCATAGCGACAGAAATTCTGGACTCTATTGCGGTCGTAAGTCGAAGACGTTGTGTCTGTACATAAAGAAATAATGCCTCTTTTTATAAGAGTTAATTCCTACTCCTTCCTACCGTCTACTGCGAGGAATTGAAAAAAAGTGAGAATTATGTCCATTCATCACAATATAATAGCACGAAGCTGGAGAAAAAGGGACATTAATTCTGAAAAACACGGGATTTTTTGACAAACACCCCCCCCAACTGTCAACAATTAACAATGATTGACACACAGCAATTTTTAATATTATGTCAGGGGTTTTTTAAAAAAAGATTCTCCGCGGATTTTCATCATGCCAAATACTATTTTCAATTTGGTTTCCACGAATCTCAGAAAATGTCATTTTATTTTTTTTGTAAATCTTGGGAAGTGAGGACCAAATTCTAAACCGAAGCTACAACTAAATTTAAAACGAGGCAAACCTTGCTAAAAATCTGACTTGGAAAGGCAACGATTAACTAATTGAGGAAAGGCTCTGGGAATATATATATGTATATATGTATATATGTATATATGTATATATATATATATGTAAATGCGCTTTTTACAAATTTTGCTACGTAAAAAATTTCCTTTCTGCTTGCATTGTTTTTTTTTTGTTTGTTTTTTCCTCTCCTCTGAGAGGATTTTTTTTTTTTTTTAATGTTCACCATTCTTATGCAATGATTTTAATTATTTATTCTGGGAGTGTTTTCCCCTTTTCTCGAACAAGTAACTATAGCAACCCTGCAGAGCCCTCCAGAAAAAAAACAATCCGGTTATCTCTGTCCATCATTAATTCACTCCCATGTTGGAAGTCGCAAAAACCCTGTTCTAAAAAATATCCTTCGCATCTGTTTCTCGTGCCATTGTTCTTCGGATGTCTGAAATACTCTTTTGCAGCCCAAAAGGAGGGGGGGAAAAGAACATTTTTGAAGAAGGAGAGAGAAGAGAGTATAACTTACCTGAAGCCTTGCTAGCTGCGCCGTGCGGGATACGATTTTATTGTAGGGATCGATAATTTTGCCTTTGATCCTAAAGCGAAAAAGGAACCGTGTTTTAGAAACGTCGGTGATGCACGAGAATTTAAAAACTTCCAATGACGGGATACAGATCTTGGCATACCTGTCAACGGTACTCTGCAGGGCACTGATTCTGGTCTGCATCATTTCGAGAACACCTGTAACCAAAGATAGAAGAACCGATCAAAATAACTACCTCATGTGAAAGAAAGCTGGGTGGGTTTTTTTCCCCAGTTGAGGAAAAAAACTTAAAATAAGTTAGGAAATTGCAGAATTTATAATACAGGTAATCCTTGGCTGACAACGGTTCCTTTAGGGACGGTTCAAAGTTACAACGGCACTGAAAAAAGCGACTTTTTTTCACACTTATGACCGTTGCTGCATAACCGCGGTTACGTGATAAAAATTCAGACACTTGGCAGCTGACTCGTCTTTATGATGGTCGCAGCGTTCCGGGGATCGCCTTTTGCGACCTTCTGAGGAAAAAGTTAACGGGGAAGCCACGTTCGCTTAATCAACATGTGACTCACTGAACAACGGCAGGGATTCGCTTAACAACGGTGGCCAGGCAGGCCGTAAAACGGGGTGAAACTCACTTAAGAACTGTCTCGCTTAGCAACATGAACGTTGGGCTCAATTGCGACGGCGAGCAGGACCACGAGTGAGCCCAAAATTTAGGTCGCTAAATGAAACGTTTGTTCAGCGGGTTTTGCCCCATTTTATGATCTTCCTCGTCAGAGTTGTTAAGTGAATCATGGCTCTGCCAGCGAAAACGGAACTCGGGAAGGTGCAGCCGTGTGCGGCCCTCCGGAGCTCCATTTTCACTTGCAGAGGCACAACAGGCCAGTCCTTCTCTGTTTCCAGGGCGGCCACATAGGCCATATCTAAGCACCCCACAGGTCAGATCCGGCCCCCGGGCCCCTGAGTTTGACACCCCTGATATAGATAAGAGGTAATAAAGGATAATATTTGTAGCTCAGGGTTGACACGAGGGGTCCTTGGTGCCCTCTAAGCTTGCTTGTTTTCTTACAAACGTTTCATTACCATACTAGGTAACATCATCAGTGCTAGCGATGATCATACCTAGTTAGGATCACGAAACGTCTGCAAAAAAACAAAAACAAAAAACAAGCAAGCTCAGAGAGCACTAGAAATTCCTCCGCGACTGGAAAAAAAACAACAACCTGCGATGCGCTCGAATCCAAACCTAATCTCAGTCCAGAACCATCAATCAATCCAAGACAAGTGGCTGTTAACAGCAGGGCTAAAATATATGAATCCCGTTACTCAGGCACCCTTGGTCTGCTGACAGCTCTTACTATTAATAGCAGCGATAGTGCATTTTACAAGGCTTTGCTGGCAGTTTGCAGGTCCAACTTTTGACAGAAAAAGAACAGCGGTTGGCTCTTTTGGGTGAGGGGAGGGCATCCATCAAATAGATGAAGAGGAAAATAGGCAATTCAACAGATTAATCTTTCTACATGCTACGACCCACTTCGTTTATATTCAAAAATCAGAGCACCCGGAATTGTTCTTGGTTTGCAAAAAAAAAAATCTCTACTGGAGGTGATGCAACCAAATATAATAATAAGGTAAAGGTTCCCCTCGCACTTATGTGCTAGTCATTCCCGACTCTAGGGGGCGGTGCTCATCTCCGTTTCAAAGCCGAAGAGCCAGCGCTGTCCGAAGACGTCTCCATGGTCATGTGGCCAGCATGACTCAACGCCAAAGGCGCACGGAACGCTGTTCCCTTCCCACCAAAGGTGGTCCCTATTTTTTCTACTTGAATTTTTCACGTGCTTTCGAACTGCTAGGTTGGCCGAGACTGAGACAAGTCACGGGAGCTCACCCCGTTACGTGGCACTAGGGATTCGAACCGCTGAACTGCCGACCTTTCGATCGACAAGCTCAGCGTCTTAGCCGCTGAGCCACCGCGTCCCTTTTCATCTAATAATAGCAAGCTGATTAAACTTAAATCATCCAAATCTCACGGTAAATATATTCTGGAAATAAAATTGTTGTCAAAATCGACAAAATGTACAGCCAAGCAGCGCAATGCCTTCTAAATTTATTTCTGTTTTTTTATTTTTAACCAGTATCTCGGCCCCTGGCAGCTGAATATCAAGGCAAACACTCATTCATTAAGAATCCAAGTGTTACGTATGTATTTCCTTTATGTAAAGGAAAATATTCAAGATCTGGAAAGGGGACCTGACAGAAGAAGCTAAATCCTAGCAGGTCGATCTGTTCAAATCCCGCAGCTCAGAATCTAAAGCCAAGAGGGATAATCCAGAATTTTTCAAGCTTTCCATTAACAGGGAAAAAAAAAAAAAGAGAATATTCTTGAATGCCTTCAAGCAATCTTCAATCAGTTACTGGATGAAAAGGAAACGGTATTTAAGCAAATGTCAGTGGATTGTGTGTTAGGTGTGATATTCCGGTAAGTTAGTGCTGGCTGGGGAATTCTGGGAGTTGAAGTCCACGCAACTTCAAAGTTGCCAAGATTGAAAAAAAAAAACATTGCTGTAGTAGGCATGGAACTGATTTCCTTGAGAGCAAACTGCTAGATTTGATAAATCTTCAGATTAAGCCAAAAAGGAGTTTTCTGCTATTAAATGACCTGCTAAGTTTGGAGTTAATATAAAAATACCATTAAATGACCTGCTAAGTTAATATAAAAAGCATCCAAAGGCAAGAAACAATAGATGGAAACTAATCAAGGAGAGAAGCAACCTGGAATTAAGGAGAAACTTACTAACAGGTTTTCTGCTATTAAATGATCTGCTAAGTTTATAGTAAATATAAAAATACCATTAAATGACTTGCTAAATTAATATAAGATGCATCAGAAGGCAGGACAAGAAACAATGGATGGAAGCTAATCGAAACTAAACATACCTAAATAGGATGGCATGGAGCAGATTTCTGCTACCGGTTCCGGTGAACCGGTCCGAACCGGCTGAATGCCACTTCTGGTGAGAACAATTAACCAGTGGAACTGCTTGCCACCAGAAGTTGTGGATGCTCCATCACTGGAGATTTTTAAGAAGAGACTGGACTGCCACCTGTCTGAAATGGTATAGAGTCTCCTGCTTGAGTTGGAGTTGAGTTGGAGCCCTCTTACCGGCTCTATTCTGATTGATAGTTGAGCTGAGAATTTGTAACATTGAACAGATTAGGGGTATCCTGTAAAGGCGATGTATTTATTTATTTTTTTTAATTTAAAAGTAATTTTGAAATTGCTTAAAAGAAAACGATTCTTAAGGGAAGCACAGTTCATTATGTAAGAACGGATTTGCAACAAGCTAGTAACAGGGCAGAAATACCTCTCCAAATGGAAAAAGAAAAACCACTCAAGCTAAACAGGAAAACACTAATATTTTTAATAGCGTTCGGTTATCAAAAGACCCTTTTTGGTGTTTTCCTCCCAACGAAGGCTACAATAATTAAATGTTCACACATTTTTCAGATGTACCTTTCAGGCTGCAGATGCCATCCAAAGTATAAAGTCATTTTTCTGTAGGAGTCCAATTCTATATATGGACCCAAGAAGGCTCAGCATACGGACATGAGGCGGTAAGTATTTGTCAACCCACACGTTTGTCAATGCTTACTCACTTACACATAAAGGAGACAGGATTCAGACTCAATATCATGCATTATTTAACCGAACGGAAAGTGTATGTTATTAGGTTTGCCACCTAATACGTCTTCCAGGACTGATTTAAAATTTTCAGTATGAAAACAGGCTCAATTCGGAGGCTGAAACAGCTGTAGGACGGGACGGGACGGGACGGAACAGAACATATGGAATGGAATGGAATGGAATGGAATGGAATGGAATAGAATAGAATAGAATAGAATAGAATAGAATAGAATAGAATAGATAGAATAGAATAGAATACATGGAACGGAACAGAACAGAACAGATTAGAAAATAGAATAGAATAGAATATATGGAATGGAACAGAACGGAACAGAACAGAATATATGGAATGGAACAGAACAGAGCAGAAAATACGGAGTGGAGTGGAGTGGAGTGGAGTGGAATAGAATAGAATAGAATAGAATAGGAATATATGAAATGGAACAGAACAGAACAGAACAGAAAACAGAATAGAATATATGGAACGGAACAGAACAGAATAAAAAATATAGAATGGAATTGAATAGAATATATGGAATGGAACAGAACAGAAAATACGGAGTGGAATGGAATGGAATGGAATGGAATGGAATGGAATGGAATAGAATAGAATAGAATAGAATAGAATAGAATAGAATAGAATAGAATAGAATAGGAATATATGGAATGGAACAGAACGGAACAGAACAGAATATATGGAACGGAACAGAACAGAGCAGAAAATACGGAGTGGAGTGGAGTGGAGTGGAGTGGAGTGGAATGGAATGGAATGGAATGGAATGGAATGGAATGGAATGGAATAGAATAGAATAAAATAGAATAGAATAGAATAGGAATATATGAAATGGAACAGAACAGAACAGAAAACAGAATAGAATATATGGAACGGAACAGAACAGAATAAAAAATATGGAATGGAATTGAATAGAATATATGGAATGGAACAGAACAGAAAATACGGAGTGGAATGGAATGGAATGGAATGGAATGGAATGGAATAGAATAGAATAGAATAGAATAGAAATAGAATAGAATAGAATAGAATAGAATAGAATAGAATAGAATAGGAGTGGAGTGGAGTGGAGTGGAGTGGAGTGGAATGGAATGGAATGGAATGGAATGGAATAGAATAGAATATAGAGTTATTTATAGACCAAGTGTGATTGGACACACAGGGAATTTATCTCTGGTTCGTAATAAAAAGATGGACACAGCAAACGCCTTCTGATCCTCCAATCCTCAGAGGCGTTTGATATCAATAACCAGGATATCCTGCAGCGTTTACAGGTATCGTCCTCAACTTACAACCATTTGCTTAGTGACCGTTTGAAGTGGCGGTGGCACTGAAAAAAAGTGACTCATAAACGTTTTTCACACTTACGACCGTTGCAACAATCCCCATGGTCACGTGATCAAAATTCAGACGCTTGCCAACTGACTCGTATATATGACGGTTGCAGCGATCGCCTTTTGTGACCTTCTAACACGCAAAACCAACGGGGAAGCCAGATTCACGTAACAACCCGTGTTACTATCAACGGCAGCAATTCGCCTAACAATTGGGGCCAGAAAGGTCATAAAAGGGGGCGAAACTCACTTAACGACCGTCTTCCTAAGCCATGGAAATTTTGGGCCTAATTGTGGTCGTAAGTCGAGGACCCCCTGTAGCCTAATTACAGGACTTCACAATACTGTGTTAATTCTGGCTTGATTGGCCTGAACATTTCCTAAATGGCAGAAAATTATTCACCGGTTCAGATTTTTTGAAAATAGCCCACGCACCCTTCTCCGGTTCTCTGCAACGTCTGATTTTACTGCCCCATTGTGTTTGTGAAAAAATAAATTGTGAGTTTGTTGGTTTCTCTCCGAGCTTGGTGGTTTTCTTACAGACATTTCATTGCCCAACTAAATAACATCATCAGTGCTATCTGATGAGTTATAGTGGGTGCCCCTAGATACACCCACATTACACCAATTCTCCGCGAGCTGCACTGGCTCCCTATCGGGCTCCGGGCTCCGGGCGCAATTCAAGGTGTTGGTTATTACCTTTAAAGCCCTACATGGCTCAGGGCCAGGCTATCTTCGAGACCGCCTCCTACCACATAGCTCCCAGTGACCGGTAAGATCTCACAGAGTCGGTCTCCTCCGGGTCCCGTCAGCTAAACAATGTCGGCTGGCGGGCCCGCAGGGGAGGACCTTCTCTGTGGCTGTCCCGGCTCTCTGGAACCAATTACCTCCTGAAATCCGGACCGCCCCCACCCTATTGGCCTTCCGGAAAGCGGTGAAGACCTGGCTCTTCCGGCAGGCCTGGGGCCGTTGATCTCGTTATAGTGATCTTGCGAGACCCGGCCACAAATTGGAGTGTATGTGTTTTAACATTTTAATGTTTTAATGTCTTCTTTTAACTTTTGTATAGGATATTGTTGCATTGTTTTATTCTCTGTTGTAAGCCGCCCAGAGTCCCTCGGGAGTGGGGCGGCATAGAAATGCGACAAAATAAATAAAATAAATAAAATAGCAGCCAGTAGGGTTTGCTCTCTGTCTATATTCATATCCCAGTGTCTTGCCCTGTCAATGGAGTGGATGTTAGCGGTTTCTTCATTAGGTTGTGGTTTATTGTTAGCTTGTTTGTCTGCACTGGCAGTTCCTTAATTGGAATATTGTTCCGTTCTTGGTCTAGTGTTAATCTTGGTGTTAATCTCGGTTTATGTGGGTGTTGATTGCTGGTGAGGAGGTTTTTGGGGTCTTTTTTCTCCCCTTTGGGCTTCTTAATTGTGTCTTTTGAGTAGTAAGTAAATGACAGACAAGTCACTAGTACAGTGATGGCGAACCTTTTGGCTGTCGTCTGCCAAAAGCGGGGGGGAGCAGGGGGGTTGCGCCCATGTGTGCCCACACCCATAATTCAGTGTGCCCCACCCCCCATACACATGAGCGCGCGACACCCGTGCACTCTCCCCGCTTTTGGCACGCGATGGCATGGTGGGCCCAGTAGGCCCGTTTTTCGCCCTCCCCAGACTCCAGAGACTTTTTTGGAGCCTGGGGAGGGTGAAAACAGCCTTCCCCGTCCCCCCAGAGGCCATCTGGAGGCCAGAAGTAGCCTGTTTCCCGACTTCCAGTGGGCCCGGAAGGCCCCAAAATCAGCTGAACTAGGGCAATGCTCACGTGCCCACCGATATGGCTCTGCGTGCCACCTGTGGCACGCGTGTCATATGTTCGCCATCACAGCACTAGTAAATAAAAATAAGAGCAAACCCCATTTTTTTCCCTCTAATTCTTTTTTTTTTCTTCAAGTTTTTTATTTTTATTTTTTACAAACATATCAATGTGCGAACACTGTGGCACCTGAGTGGCTTACATTTTAGTACAAATAAAATAATATTCATCATATTTTCTACAGTTGACAAGCTTATATAGTTCTAATAGTATTACACATGTTTATGTTAAATTATAATCTTCCATTATTTAATTATTCAATATTCAATATGTTTTTATGCCAATCACCACATTCTGGTTATCGTTCATTTTACTACAAATAGAATATTAATAATCGTATTTGTTACATTTAACAAACTTATATAGTTCTAATAATAATACACATATTTGTTAAATTGTAATCTTCCATTAATTATTCAATATTTCAATGTTATTTTTATGCCAATCACCATATTATTCAAACATGCTTAATACTACCATCGTTCAAATTCTAGCTTCCCCTCTTATTATTTCACCTTATGATATAAAAATGTATATTCCATTAATCCCCCTCTATTATCCATTCCTACTCTTTTACTTATAGCACTATTATATTTAAAAATACTCAGTTTCTATCCGTCGTCTCTTGCCCGTTTTAAAGCTTTAATTGTTTGTTTCTTCCCCTGTCTCCCATATTCCTCTCTTGGATCTTTATTTTTTCTCTAGTTCTGAAGCTGTTTCCTGTTTGGTAACAACCAAGCAAGAACCCCTGTGCTACAAATATTCTTGAAACACAATTATATTTATTAGTTTGTGTACTGTAAGCGCTTTCTCGTGAAAAACGCTGTATTATAGATTGCTTGCAAATACTGATTCTCCGTTGTTTTCTATAGAACAATATTTCCACGCAGGCAGAAAAGTTACCGTACGTGCGGGAAATCGGTTAAGAACTGCACCACCTGCTGGCAATATAAATAAGTACAACTCGTTGTACAGGTTGTTTGAAAGGGGCCAAAAACAGAGAATACAGGTGCTGCTTGATTCACAACAGTTTATTTAGTTACAGCTTTGGCTGGCTGAGGAATTCTGGGAGTTGAGGTCCACAAAGTTTGAAGTTCATAAGGTTGAGAAATAATGATTTAGAACATAAGACCGAGGCACCCATTAGAAGGCCTACATTTAAGCACATTTGTAGGCGCGCAATAAATTGTATAATAAACGAAAAGTTGCTTACCTTCCAAAGATTCTATGCCAGTCGCTTGTGCCAACAAGTCCTCATGCCTTGCAACTACCTAAAAGGTGAAAATATCAATCAGAAGCTTTAAAAAGTAGCTTATGTTTTAGAAGTATTTTAAAAGATCCTATTGGCCTCTCTCAAACCATGGATTTCCCAGCAGGCTTATGGATCCCATGGAAATAGGGAGCCCGTAAGGTGGTGGTATTATGTATAGGATATTGGTCCATTCTCCTTTGTTTACATTCATGTTGGATTATTTTTCATTATTATTTTAGACCTGTTTTTAATTGTTGTACTGTAGATTGCCAAGACTCATATTTGAAAGATAGGCAGCTAAGTAAACTACATAAATGGGCAGGAAGGTAGAAGGTAGTTAGGTAGTTAGGTACCTAGTTAGCCACGGTGGCGCAGTGGTTAGAGTGCAGTACTGCAAGCTACTTCTGCTGGCTGCCGGCTGCCTGCAATTTGGCAGTTCAAATCTCACCAGGCTCAAGGTTGACTCAGCCTTCCATCCTTCCGAGGTGGGTCAAATGAGGACCCAAATTGTTGGGGGCAAGAGGCTGCCTGTGTAAACCGCTGAGAGGGGCCTGAAAAGCACTATAAAGCAGTATATAAGTCTAAGTGCTATTGCTATTGTTAGGTAGAAAGGCAGGTAGGCAGATAGATAGATAGATAGATAGATAGATAGATAGATAGATAGATAGATAGATAGATAGATAGATAGATAATGGATGGATAACTGAATGGACAGAGAGATGGATGGATAGGTGAATGGATGGATGGATGGAGAGATAGCTAGATAGACTGACAGATGATGCATAGCTGGATGGACAGACAGACGGATGGAGAAACTGATTGATGGATAGATGGATGGGTGGGTGGATGGAGAGAGAGAGAGAGAGAGAGAGAGAGAGAGAGAGAGAGAGAGAGAGAAAGAAAATACATACATACATATGCATGCATACATACATACATACATACATACATACATACATACATACATACCAGGACAGACAGACAACTGCGACAGAATCTGATGTCTGAGACCAGAACATGTGGCAAAGTTCTTACGATTCTGTCCAGATTTTGCATCTCCAATGCTAAATGTTAAGACTTCCCGACAACTCTCTATTGATCTCAATATTTCATTCAAAGTGAACTGATACTAACCCAATACTAAAACACGCTTGAGGAATACGATACGCAAGATTAGATCAAAGCTTTGTGCCTCATTTTTTCAGTCTCAAAGCGGCCAATCTCCTGTTTTTACGGAACACCTGTATTAATTTGGAACGGTCAACAAATTGCGATACACGACTGTCCATCCATTAGATCAAAAGCAATGCTCTTATCATTCTTTTATTTCACGTCTATCTTTAATTAGTAATGCAAATAAGTACTTACTTGCAAGTGGAGCTCTTTATCTAGCTGGCTGATCCCTTGAGCGAGCTTTGCCAATTGTTCAGCAATAACAGCCTGGTGGATGGATTGAGAGGTATATGCCTTCACGTCAAAGTCTTCCCGCAAAAAATCCACGTAACATTCTGAAAGGGACACAGAAGCAAAAGAAAACAAGAAAAGTTTGCTTCCTTTTTTGCTTGTTCAGAGAGAATCAAGAGTCATTTCTGAGTTTGCTCTATGCAGAACAAAGAAATTTAGAATAAAGCTTTAAGACCAAGAGGTTCCCCTCAAAATATGGGTTTCCTGACTAAGCAGGGGGTTGGACTAGAAGACCTCCAAGGTCCCTTCGATCTTCGAAACCGAATTAGGAACATGAAACACAGAGATGAAATCCTACAAGGGGGTTTAAATTTTTAGGGCCTGCAACAAATAGTACCACAGAGAGAGTTGGCAGTGCAGTGTTGGTCAAGCTTAGCCACTTGAAGACGGGTGGACTTCAACTCCCAGAATTCCCCAGCCAGCATTACTGGCTGCTGCCATGCCAATGCAATCATGCATCAAAATGGAGACAATGCAAGGCAATGTGGAATTCTGGGAGTTAAAAGTCATTTGAAGCTTGGCCATTTGAAGACAGGTGGACTTCGACTCCCAGAATTCCCCGTTGCATTGCACCGACTCCATTGTAGCGCAGGACTGCATTGCATAGCAGCAGCCAATAGTGCTGGCTGGGGAATTCTGGGAGTTGAAGTCCACCCGTCTTCAAATGGCCAGGCTTCAAATGACTTCAAACTCCCAGAATTCTATGTCGAATATTTGAACACTGAATGATATTCAAACACCTTTCAACTCCCAGAATTCCCCAGCCGGCATTGCTGGCCGCTGCCATGCCATGCAATCATACGTTACAATGGAGTCAATGTAGTGCCATGGGGAATTCCGGGAGTTGAAAGGTGTTTGAATATCATTCAGTGTTCAAATATTCGACATAGAATTCTGGGAGTTTGAAGTCATTTGAAGCCTGGCCATTTGAAGACGGGTGGACTTCAACTCCCAGAATTCCCCAGCCAGCACTATTGGCTGCTGCTATGCAATGCAGTCCTGCGCTACAATGGAGTCGGTGCAATGCAACGGGGAATTCTGGGAGTCGAAGTCCACCCGTCTTCAAATGGCCAAGCTTCAAATGACTTTTAACTCCCAGAATTCCACATTGCCTTGCATTGTCTCCATTTTGATGCATGATTGCATTGGCATGGCAGCAGCCAGTAATGCTGGCTGGGGAATTCTGGGAGTTGAAGTCCACCCGTCTTCAAATGGCCAGGCTTCAAATGACTTCAAACTCCCAGAATTCTATGTCGAATATTTGAACACTGAATGATATTCAAACACCTTTCAACTCCCGGAGTTGAAGTCCACCCGACTTCAAGTGGGCCACTTCGGACCACACACTGCCTTAGGAGGATTGGAAGCAAATATTGACTCTCTGCTGCCACCTAGCGACGCCCAAAGGCTTTTGCAGCCCCTACTAGGCAGATAGTGAATGCCGGTGAACCCCAAGGGGTCTTTTTGTGGGGGGGGGAGTAAAGTAATTAAAACCCCGCTAACAACCAGGGCAGACCCTTCCCTTCGTCCCGGCCTTTCTTCCTCACCATCTCCTAGGAGCTCCCCAGGACCCGGCTCGGAAAGAGCTGCCGTCCCCGTCTCGGGAATACTTTTCACTCCTTCCATGCTGGCACCAAGAAGAACCCAGCTGCGGCCGTGACGACATAAAAGGGCGCCGGCCTACACTCTGTCGCGCGTCGCATTTGACCATAGAGGTTGGAAAGGATAGACACGTCTGTTCATGTCTACTTTTAAGACTTTTCTATTCTGTTTCTCTCTCTCTCTCTCTCCCTAAAGGGGAATCTTATTAGTTGTCCTCCGATTCCAAAAAGACAAGTTGATAACATAAAGTTAACGTACTATATAATGCCTTGGTAGATGCACCAAGACAAATTCCTTGTGTGTCCAATCACACTTGGCCAATAAAATATTCTATTCTATTCTATTCTATTCTATTCTATTCTATTCTATTCTATTCTATTTTTCTATTCTATTCTATTCCATTCCATTCATTTTCTCTATTCTATTCTATTCTATTCTATTCTATTCCATTCCATTCCATTCCATTCCATTCCATTCCATTCATTTTCTCTATTCTATTCTATTCTATTCTATTCTATTCTATTCTATTCCATTCCATTCCATTCCATTCCATTCATTCCATTCCATTCATTTTCTTATTCTATTCTATTCTATTCTATTCTATTCTATTCTATTCTATTCTATTCTATTCTATTCTATTCTATTCTATTCTATTCTATTCTATTCTATTCCATTCCATTCCATTCCATTCATTTTCTCTATTCTATTCTATTCTATTCTATTCTATTCTGTTCCATATATTCTGTTCTGTTCCGTTCTGTTCCATTCCATATATTCTATTCTATTCTATTTTCTAATCTGTTCTGTTCTGTTCCGTTCCATGTATTCTATTCTATTCTATTCTATTCTATTCTATTCTATTCTATTCTATTCTATTCTATTCTATTCCATTCCATTCCATTCCATTCCATTCCATTCATTTTCTCTATTCTATTCTATTCTATTCTATTCTATTCTATTCTATTCTATTCTATTCTATTCTATTCTATTCTAGTAAGGACACACTTGGAATACTGCATCCAGTTTTGGTTGCCACGATGTAAAAAAAGAAAAGACTCTAGAAAGAGTGCAGAGAAGAGCAACAAACATGATTAGGGGGACGGAGGCTAAGACATGAAGAATGGTTGCTGGAAATGGGTTTTGCTAGTCTAGGGAAAAGAAGGACTAGGGGTGACATGAGAGCAGTCTTCCAATATTTGAGGGGCTGCCCCAAAGAAGAGGGAGTCAAGGTATTCTCCAAAGGACCTGAAGGCAGGAGAAGAAGAAGCAATGGATGGAAACTAATCAAGGAGAGAAGCAACCTAGGATTAAGAAGAAATTTCCTGACAGTTAGAACAATTAATCAGTGGAACGACTTGCCTCCAGAAGTTGTGAATGCTCCAACACTGGAGATT